GTCTGTTAACTCTCTCTTCTCATTCAGGTTGACATTTGCCTGGTTCTTGGCACAAGAGCATGGCTTTCTGTTCTATTCTGCCCATTTGGGTTTGAGACCCTGGACTTACTTGTTTGAATGTTTTAGTAGGTCTACTCTGACACCACCCCCGTGGGTGAAGGGGGCATGTGGTGGGTTTGACGGTTCAGGCTCACCACTGAGCCCCGTTTGAGTACAGGCGGCAGGGAGGAGTGGCTCAGTGCAGCTTCCCACTAGAACACGTGGGCCCCACTGATACCATGGGAGTGGGGGGAGTTGTTCCTCTGGGTCAGGGTAAAAGTCTAGGCTCCCAACATGGCCTCCACTGACACTATGGGGGTGGGCCTCATTACCATCCTGCAGGGATAGAAGTCCCAAGCGCCCTACTGGGCTAGCTCTGACCCCGCTCCAGCAGGGGTTGGGGAGGCCTCATTGCAACAGGCAAAGGAGAAGGTCTAGGCTCCCCACTTGGCCCTTGCTGGTGAGGCTGTGGGGTTGGGGCCATGGGTTTTTCCACGGTGTTTGGATAGAGTAGGGAAGTTACTGTCCGAGACTTCATCTTTCTAGGTTGCCCTGTCCTGATCCTTGGGCTAGAGACACCAGGCTTTTAGCCATTGGCTCCTATTGGTGTTTCTGGGGTGCTGGTTTCTCCAGTGCCTCGTATTTGCCCAATATGAGGCAAAAGAAAACCCAGGGAAGTCAATGCTGTGTTATTCCTTGGGTACTGAAGTTCCTTTCCATTCGGTCTTCTCAGCTTTCACAGTAGTTTGATGTTTGTTTTATGCAAGTCCAGGCTGCTCTTAGTGGAGGAATAGGGAGAAGTGCGTCTATTCTTTCTTGCCTCTTCTACTTTGTTTTGAATAGTGAATTTTCTAAAAATGTGGTCCTAGAAAGTAGCTTAGTTTGCAAAATACAAACATAACTTTTATATAATTTTATAAATAACTACTGACTCAGTCAAACCACCGAGGACATGTTCTACAATCAATGGTTTGTGTGTGTCTCCAATTGAATGCTAAGTCCTCGATCTAAGCCATGTCTTAGGTTAAAATAATTCCAGGATTTCCTGATATTGAACCACCTTTGCATTCCGGGAATAAACCTCTCTTAGTCACTGTTAACAGTAGGGTGCACTAGGTTAAGTTGGGGTAACAAATAGCCCCCCATCTTAGGGGCTTGTAAGGGTTTATGTGTCTCTTACGCTCCATGTCCCACTGTGGGTCAGCTGTCCCAGCCCCCAAGCCCTTGAAGTAGCCACCATCTGGAATATTACCAATCTTAGGGACGAAGGCAAAGTGGACAGTGTGAACCAAGGGCAGGCACTTAAAACTTTTACTCAGAAGTCCTACATGCCACTTCCACTCACAAGCCACACAGTCACACCTAAGTTCAACGAGGGGATGTATAATCCTCCCACAGGAAAGAGCACTGAGAGGGAGAAGCACCAACTCATTTCGTGAAAAATAATACAATATACCACTACATATCACTGGATTCAGTTCACTAATATTTTATTTTGAATATTTGCATCAACCTTCATAAGGGAGACAGGTCTATAGTTTCTCATTTCATAAAAATAATTTGGAAGTGAAAAATTACTTTGTCATTAAGACTGCAAGGTGACTGATGTGGTAGCTCAAGTTAAAGTGTTATAGGTGTATAGTAGGGGGTCTAATTTCTGCCTTGACAGCTTATTATGTAATAATAAAAGGTTAACACACTTCATGTGATCTGATAAATCAATTAAAACATTTCCTTAAAAAAAATTCCTTTTGGAAATTTCCTCTAAGGGGAAAAAAATTTGGAAGATAATTTAGGAATGAAAAGTACTCTCTCCTGCAAAGTCAGATTTCACTTCTGCACCCAACCCGTGTCTTAGAGGCATGTTTTTAATATTTTCATTTCCTACTTTTCTGCCCTGGATTATAAAGTGGGCGCAGTTTTTCTGTACACATTCCTGACAGTGCTTTCAACTGAGCAACTCTGCCAAAAAGCATGCCTGAACCGGGAGGGCATTACTAAGGAGGCAAGAATCTTCTAGTGGGTGGAGACGAGGTTTTCCTATCACCCTCTCACCTCCTTCTTGACCGCCCCCGTCATTGAGCCTCCTGTGTAAACAGCATCTTTTGTCCAAGCATCCCAATGAGCAGTATAAACATTGTCTCACCTGTAAGGCAAGTGATTGGTAAATATTTATTCATATTTTTCAGATGGACAAACTGAAAATGCCAGAGTCAAGTGGCCTAAAGCCACTTCCAAAGCTGCTTGCTTTGGGAAAACCCTTCACAACTGCTGCTTCTTGAGCATTTTCCTGGCCTTGCTGGTGGCCAGAGGACAGAAGGAACTAAGTTCTGGCTGTTTGGTGTATATGTAATTTCAGTTTCATTGTTGCTATATACAAACTTTACCAAAACTCAGAGTAATAAAACCTTATCAGGTATTAGCAAGTCCTTGGGTTGGTGAATAGGGAATGTTTACAGGCAAGAGGAGGCTAATTCTAGGAAAACTGAACGAAGACGGTAAAATCTGTGACTTACTTGAAAGTCACACAGGTCTTGTCAGTACACATTCAGCACAGTCTCTGAAACCTCGTTAGCAGTAGAATCACGTGCTTACCGCCAATCTTTGATGGCCACAAATTGTATGCAAATGTCAACACTGGCAGTCACACACTGTGGCCAACCTACCTTTCCAGGCCTCTCTTTTACTTTACCTACGCTCATCTACACGCTGTCCAAACTGGGCTTCTTATTTCTGGGGCACAACTCCCCCCTGCCCGCTCTGGGGCCTCTCTTCATGCTGTGCTTTCCACTTGCAGGGTGCTCTCCATCATGTCTGCTTATCAAAATCTTGGACTTCAAGGCCCACAGGGACACTACTGCCTCCGGACAGCCTCTTAGATTCCTCCTAACTGATATCTCTATTTTCTACATCATTTTTAGCACCAGAGCTTGAAATTCTTTTGGCACAGTATTATAATACTCTCCACAGCCCCTGCCCATCCGCCCAGCACACTAGCTGGTAAGGAACTTGCGGGTAGAGGCCCTGCAGCCTCTGCTATAGTAAAGCACGTAGGAGTCACGCTACCATCTCCTATCACGTAGGAGAGGCTGTGATCCCTCTCCTGCAGTCTTTACGTCTACAGTTTGTATCATTCTAGGAAACCCCTTTCTCTGGTCTCTGGGCTATCCTGTCTCTTTATGGGATGCACTGGGGGCCCTTCCTCAAAAAGTCACCTTTTCCTCTGATGCATTATCCAAGACATCATTAAGGCAGTTAGTGGAGTCAATGGCTGAGTCACAGTGATTAATGGATCTACAGGAAACAGTGGGCTGCAAGTGCACATCATTGCTATCCTCAAAGAACAGGAAAGACAGTGTCTACTGCAATGATCAAGTTCCAGCCTGCTCAGAATCACCCGTGAAGGCATTAAGTGCACAGGAAGTAAATGTGAAGAGAAAGAACACCCAAGATGGCGGCTTTCAAATAGAAATCAAGGAGCTATTCACTACATAATACTATTTCCTATCAGGTGGATTAGAAAAGCCTCTTCATTAATTCAAACTCTACACTTATTTTTACTTCAGAACAGATGGCCAACCTGAGCCCTGGTTTTCTATAATTTGGCCATAGCAAAGAAACAAAAAAAAATTCAAACACTAAAATGAAGTAGAAGTTGTCAGAGAATAGACAGCAAGCAACACATAAATTCACAACATACACACAATAGGACAGTGTGTAACTTAAAGAGCAAAAGCACAAAACTGTACAATGCTCTGCCATTTATTTTAAAAGACTGTAGAGATTGGAATATTTATCTAAACACACTGACAAAAGCGCTCTCAGGGGGAGACTTTTCACTGTATAATCTACTCAAAGAACACACAAACATGTTTTTAAAGAAACAACTCCAGAATAGAGATAACTTGTAACACCTGAAGACCTCATAGTCTACCAGCATGTTTAAGCTCATTTTTTTCTTTTTTTCTGAGAGGCTTCTCTTCACTGAGTATTAAGAATGTAGGAAGAGAGCTCATGGCTGTCCTTCATTGTGGACAACTACAATGGCATTAAGCCTGCAAATGCTAAGAGGGTTCAACTGACCTTTTCAAAGCACAGATACCAGATTTCTGTTTTTGTAGGCTCTGGTGCCCAGAAGGAAGTTCTTTTGCTGTATAATATGTTTCCTTATAAGACTAATAAAACCTAAGGATACGATTATCTAACATGCAGTTAAGTTGTTTGGAAAGCAAATAGGTAAGAACCTGTTAGCTTTTTCCTTTCCTTCCCTTTTCCTTCTTTTTCTTTCCTTTTTTTTTTTTTTTTCTCTCTCTCCTGAGACGGAGTTTTGCTCTTGTTGCCCAGGCTGGAGTGCAATGGTGAAATCTTGGCTCACTGCAGCCTCTGCCTCCTGGATTCAAGCAATTCTCCTGCCTCAGCCTCCCAAGTAGCTGGGATTACAGGCACCTGCCACCACACTCAGCTAATTTTTTTGTATTTTCAGTAGAGACGAGATTTCACCATGTTGGCGAGGCCTCCTGACCTCAGGTGATCCGCCTGCATCAGCCTCCCAAAGTGCTGGGATTATAGGCATGAGCCACCACCCCCAGCCAGATGCTGTTACCTTCAAACTAACTTTCCTAAGTTAACTTTATGTGTATATGTACACACACAAATTTTCTAAGCTTTCAAAATGTTTGGAATAAAAATTATTTTGCAAATCTTCAACTGGGCAGATGGTTGGTATCTGAAATAGAAATAAATGCAAACAAAATATTCCAAAGTGATGGAGAATGTCCACAAGCTACTTAACAACATGAATTCAAGGTACAGTGAAAAACCAAACTGGTCTTCCTCATCATTCTCATGTCAATAATTTAGAAAAAATCCCTTCAGTACTACTGAGCTTCAGGCTTTGTAATGAAGACTGAAAATTCCAGGGGAAAGGAAGAGGAAGAGAAAGGAAAGAAATGAGAACCAGCAAAGATCAACAAACATTTCATTAATTCTGATTCCTTTTATCATTTGCTTTTTTATACAAAGCACTTTCAAATCAATTATCTTAAATTTGTAATAGGGGTTTCTTTCGGATTCAGTTTAAAAATGACAAATAGCATTCGTTGTGCCCAAGTTGGAATTATACCAAAATTACCATGTGCTGGCACATACAATCATCCCGCTGGTGGCTGGAAAACTGGGTTGCAGGAGTGTCTGCCACTCAGATGGGCCACTACCCCAGTGGGCATATGGTAGAGATGAGGGAAGGATGGACTAGAAGCACGCTGGGCCTGCTGGGTCTTCTAGGTCGTCTCTACTCTTTTTCACTTCGTCACCGTTTTCCCCACTGAGCTTGAACACAGGAATCTGCTGACCATCCTTGAGCTTTAAAAAGACCTCGTCAAGGTGCCACCTGAGAGAAACCAGAAGTACAGTATCTCTAATCTATGAACACTGAGGCAACGGCCATAGTCAAAAAAAGGGGTGCAGAAAGCAGTTGTTTTGAATAATGCCTTAAATTTTTGTAAACATTTTGTGTGAGTGCTGTGTCAACACAATTCGTAACATTCTACCATGGGCTCTCATTATTTAACCAGCTTCAACTTCGAGGCAGGCTTAACAATGACAGGCGAATGGAAGGGACACCAGGAAGGAGAAGGAGCAGTTTATTTCTCATTTCCTAATTCACACTGACCTTCAGTTCCTGGCATGGAATCCAGCCAGCTCGTGCACTAATCCCAGGCTCAGAGGTCAGTGAGCCCAGGGTGAGCTAGGTGGGCCCGCCTGCTCCTTTTGTCCTTGGGAATTAAAACACAGCCTGGCTAAACAGCAAGCATCTATGAGAGGGGCTTCCCGTGGGGGAAGTGAGTGGATGTAGCTACTGGCAACCAGACAAGCAAAGCCAATTAAGGGGTGGAGAGCTTATGCAAAGAATGTGATGAATAAATTCTGGAACAAGAATCCATGCCCTTTATTCATTTGTAACAATCGAGGCAGTGAAGTGAGAAGCTGTAACATAGCATCAAATTATGACAGACCTAGATCACTATAACTGGAAAGTTTTATGAATTCAACGGCATATAAGGAGAGGGCAATTCAGTAGACTGTATGGATAAACCGGACTCAGCTAAGAGCCACAGTACTGGCTTGCTGCCCAGGCCACGAAGCTTTCAGCTTCAAGCTTGAAAAACAGTTCTTCCTATGCCCACAGCAATTTACCAACAAATGAAAACAGAGTCGGGGTTGCTTCCATCAGGAAGTCCTCCTCCCACCCCCCGGACTGCCGTCACCTTCCCAGGATACCTCTGAAAGAGGCCACCTCTGGAGGAGCGGACGTAGAGAAGGCCCTCTGACTTGGATCCAGAAACAGGAATCTTCAACTGTGGTGTAAAATGACAGAAAGGAGAGATGTAATTCGATACATTATTGTCATTTCAGAAGATGATGACAAAATGATGCTTTCTAGAGCTAAGCCTATAAAATCCAGTGATTCTCCACAGAAGTGAGTTGTTTTCTAACAGCCCAGCTGGAGAATCCACTTGATTTTCCAAATGTCCTGCCCCTCTTTGGTTGGCTGGTAAGGTCAATGGCAGTCTTTGCATTTGGCAAGGAGGCCTCCTATGATCCTACTTCCAATGATCGCTCAAAAGTCCACTGTTAAAAAGGAGCAAACTCCTGACACACGCAGCAACATGGATGAGTATCAAAAACACGCCAAGTCAAAGGGCTTTACACAGGAGGAGTATATAACTATTTATTTTAATTCTACAACAGGCTAAACTATGCTGGAAACCTGTTATTTTGATGGATTACAAATTAATTTTCAAACATCAAAAAAAAAAAAAAAAGAAAAGTGACTGCCTCTGGTAGAGCTGGAAGATGTGAGAAGGAACCCACTGGGTAGGAAACGAGGGAATTCAGGTGCTGGGAGCAATCTACATCTAGATAACGGCTTGAGTGACACGACTGGGTGTATTTGTTAAAACTCATCAGAGATAGGACACTTGGATTTGTGCCTTTCACAGACTGTAAATTTTACCTCAAAAAAACAAAAAACAAAAAACTAGGCACCATAACAAATATTAAACTCCACTTAATGATGTACGTGCTTACATGTATAATGTTTGAAAATTACTTTGTAATCCATCAAAATAACACTATAGACTCATGGAAACAGAGCAAAATGCTAACTGTAGAATCCAGGTACCAGCTATAGGTGCTCACAGTATAAATTCTTTTATCTTTTTTGTACATTTGAAATTTTTCATAATAAAATACCAAAAGAAAATTCACTGTTTTAAAGAGGAACCTACTGCCAGCAAATTGGTACATATTTTGACCTGGACCCTAAAGAACAGGCTTTAAGGAAAATATAATACATGAAGGCTTGTCTGGGAAAGACGACACGGAGTCCTGGGTTTCTCCTTCATCCCCAGCACCACAGGCTGGGTTCGCACCACAGGGTGCTGCCAGGTGCTGCCATGCCCGTGCCCAGGCAGTCGGCCTGACAGCCCCTAAGCACTTGTTTGATTACACTCCAATTTAGAAAAAAAAAAAATAGTGAATGCGATGTTTTTGGTTTCTCACGAAAACCAAAGAAGCTATGAGCCTCGCGAAGGAGACACAGGCACAGTAATAAGGAAGCCTGTCATGAGACAGGCACCTCCCAGAGTGCCTTCCCGTGTCCTCGGTAATGGCCAAAGATACCTCCCGGAGCGGGGGCGGGGTGGGGGTGGGGGCGGGGAGTATCCCACCCATTCCAAATTGCCACCAAGAGAAGAAACTACTGAGGTACACATTTGTGCTTTCCAAAACTCTTTCTTTCCTTTAAACACACCTGAAGGAAGGCACAGGATTTGGAACATGGCTCCATAACTCAGGTGAATAGGCAGTCAACTAGTCACACTTCAAGAACAAATCTTTAGCCGGGCATGGTGGCTTCCGCCTGTAATCCTAGCACTTTGGGAGGCCAAGGTGGGTGGATCACTTGAGGCCAGGAGTTCGAGATCAGCCTGGGCAATATGGCAAAACACCATCTCTACTAGAAATACAAACAATTAGCCAGGCGTGGTGGTGCGCACCTATAGTCCCAGCTACTCGGGAGGCTGAGGCAGGAGAATCGCTTGAACCTGGGAGGTGGAGGCTGCAGTGTGCCGAGATCACACCACTGCACTCCAGCCTGGGTAACAGAGCAAAGCTCCATCTCAAGAAAAAATAAAAAATAAAAAATAAAAACAAATCTTCAGGGTCCCACTGTTTGAGTCAAGCTAAAGCTTTTCTCCAGAGATTATAGAATTAAGCAACAGAGTATACACTGAGCATCTCTGGATGCTTTAAGAAAAAAAAAAAAAAAAAGGAAGGAGAAAGAAATGGGCAGAAGCAAGAAGGATTCTGAAGAACAGCAAACTCTGAGAGGCCAATGTCTGAACTGTGCACAGCTGTGCTTCCATGTGTAGATGTGACACTTTACAGGTTGGTTCCTTCACCCAGCCCGACCTTGCCAAAGATTAAAGCAAGAGTTCTGGTAAAGCAAAAGTTGGTCACTGGTGACTATTTCACACACACACTCTAGAAAAAATCCCAATGTATGATAATTACTTCATGAACAACTGAAACATCTCACCTCTGGAAAAACTGTAAGAAGTACAAATAAAGGAATTTGGGATAATAGGGCATATGCTGTATACAAGCATCCTTACAGCTGATTATAAAGAAAGTAAGGACCCTGACAGAATGTCAAAAATAGTCCACAAATTGGAAGGCATGCACTGAGGCTCCGGGTGGCTGAGATGCAGCAGACTCTGAACTCCTGTCACTGCGGAGTCACAGCATTTGGCAGCAGTAGAAGCCAGAACCTAGCACCACAGCCAACACAGTCACAGCATGGCCAAGGCCCCAGGGATGTGGGGAAGCCCAGGAAGGCACCCTCTCAGCACCACTGGGGCCAAAGTGAAAGCTGGACAGAACAAAGCTCCCACCAAAACAACCATGGCCTCACCCTACTCTCACTGGGGTTCCTGGAGCACCAGATCATGGATGCTGCATCAACCAGCCCCGGCAAAGGCGCCTTTGGCACCCACTTCCTCAGCGCTACAGCTGGGCTCTGTGCTCTGAGCCGAGAGAAATGCAACAGCCAGACCTACCTGCTGGCTTTTCCAGGTTCTCAGGATTGCTGGGGTCTAGCCAAGTGACCAAAGACAAGGAAGCACAGACGGGCTCCACCACACCATGGGAGCAATCCAGTGGCCTGGCACAGAGTGAGCACTCCACACATGCCCAGCCCTTCCCTGTGCTCCTACGTGTCCTCTCTCACGCGGTGTCACTGCCGTCCTTCCACTCACATCCATGCTGGACACTGGAGCATCACCTCCGACCCACCCACTCCTGATACATGACTGTTACCAAGTTCTGTCACCTGGATGCCACGATGCCTTCACATCCATCTTTTGCTTCTCCAGGCCACACCTCTGGTTCATGCTCTCACCACTGCACACCAGTGTGGCTGTGTCTCTCTCATAAAGGTGGCTCACTGTAGCCAGTCCCTGGACATCACCAATCTACACAAACATACCTTCTTTTAAAACCGAGTATTTTAATCAGAATACCAGAGCATGAATTGCTTTTGTAGTTCAAAAAAAGTCTCATTAGAGCTAGGTCCATTAAGAACATACTAAAAATAACAAAAAATAATGTAGGTCAGATCACCTCACTCTTATCCTTCCAACACTTTACGGGCTTCTGCTGCTAGAGTCAAGCACACACCTTCCAAGATGACATTGTGGCCCCCTGGTGGCCACGGCCTCTCCTACCTGCCCACACCCACCTCGCCCACCTGTGCCTCCACTGCCATATCACACTGACAGGGGACACAGTGACAACCTTCCCGGGGCATGCTGCTCCTCAGCCGGGTGTTCCTCTCCACCGTTCAAAGTCCTCACAGCCGTCTCCCAGGCCTCCAGCCACTCCCCCTAGGCCTGCATAACAGTGACAGGGCTTGCATCACCCTGTCTTACTCAGGAATTTTCAACTATAAAACCCCAAAAGCCTTCTGCACCTCTATTCCCCACATAGCTTAGAATCATTCCTCAAACCAGGGTATATACTCAAAATATGTTTGTTAAACAGAAGAACAAATGCATTTTACATGCAAGTGAGTGTGATCAAGTACAAAAAGGTAAGTTACAGCTAAAAAAAATGGGTTGGTATACTGTGGAAGCAATGTAAATAAATACTCTTTAAAAATCAAAGTTTAAAGAGTTGGTTACATTTGAATGAGCACTGACTGGATACAGATGCTTTCTCATTTTTTTTTATTTTAGAGACAGTTTCACTCTGTCACCCAAGGTGGAGTGCAGTGACATGATCATAGCTCACTGCAGCCTCCAACTCCTGAGTTCAAGTGATCCTCCTGCTGCAGCCTCCTGGGTAGCTGGGATTATAGGTGTGCACCATCATACCTGGCTAAATGATAGATAGATAGATAGATAGATAGATAGATAGATAGATAGATAGATAGACAGACAGAGAGCTAGACAGACTAAATGATTGATTGATAGATGATTGATTGATGATTGATTGATAGATGATTGATAGACAGATGATAGATGATTGATAAATAGATAGATAGATGATTGATTGATAGACAGGCAGATAGATAGATAGATGATTGATTGATAGACAGGTAGATGATTGATAGATAGATAGATGGATGATTGATTGATAGACAGACAGACAGACAGACAGATAGATAGATAGATAGATAGATAGATAGATAGATAGATAGATAGGCAGGCAGGCAGAGAGAAAGAGAGATAGAGACAGGGTCTTGCTGTGTTGCCCAGGCTGGTATCAAACTCCAGGGCTCAAGCAATCCTCTTACCTCAGCCTCCCAAAGTGCTGAGAGCTATCAAAGCCAACATGGTAGCAAACCACCACTGGTCATTTCTCTACTACCTTCAATTCAAGATGGTAGTAGCATACCACTGCATTCCCTGCATACCCACTGCATTCCCTGCCACATCAATTCCCCAGAATGGAAGAAAAGTATATAGAAATATATCTATAATATAAAATATATTTTATATAAACATTAAAATCCATAATAAAAAAACTTTTTTTAAAGGTGCTAAACCTAGCTTTACTTAGTGGATTTTCCCATCCCAAATCCTTAACTCCAAGACTTTCCAGGAGACAGTAGACTCTCCTCTCCTTCAGCAGGCACCAGCCTGCAGTTCGCAGGGAAAGCACGTTACCTTGGCATCAGCGACGTCCACGAAGTTTTCCCTATCGGTGAGCTTGAGATAATGGATGTTGAGAGGAGGGCCCAGAGCTTCCTGTGCCTCGGGATGGCTCTGCAGCTGCTCCACTGCCAACTTGTAATATAAACTCCTGGAATGAAACTCTAAGGACGAAAGACACACTTATTTTCCTTGTTGAACTTGGTCAGGTAGAATCTACTACAAAGAAAATTAAATAATATACAATTGATGTACAGGGTAGAAACAGAAACATGAAATTTGTGGATGGACGAATAATTAGGACCATCTACTCTAAACTGTCCATTTTACAGACTCAAAAACCAAAGCACTGGCAGGCAGTGTTTTGCAGGGATGTGCAGATGACCTTAGGCCTTGACCTCAAGCAGACCCTTTCTGCTTCACCTCATTTCTACCCTCACTCATTGCCTTATTTCTACACCTAAGGGGTTTGATCAGCTCTTCCCTAAGTTTCCTCTCAAGTCTGTAAGCTTCCTCTAAAGTCCTATGATTCCATGACTTGTTCAAAGTGACACAGCTTGTCCACGGCAAAGCCGAGGCCAGAAGTCATGACACCTGACTTCTCAACATTGCCTATTCCACTAACATGAGACGTAAAATAGGCTACAACATTAACAAAACCCTCAGGCCAAGAAACAGGATATGAGAATGTTCACTCATCGACATTTAAGCCAACATTTCAAGTCAAACTGCTCTCAGTCTCAGGAATCATTCTGAGCCCACAGGCTACCTGGGAACTCCGGGCAGCACCTCCCAGAAGCTGTAAGTTCTAATAATCAGCTGCCCGAAGGAGGGACCACAGGCAGGCTTCCCAAGCAGGCTGTTCAGTTTGGCCACAGAAAGTGCTTCCCTTCTGAAGGTCCCATCACACTAATGAAGGGAAAGGTGACCTGACCCTGGAGAGGCCAAGGGAATCCCCCTCCTCGGCTGCTTCCCAGGAACAGGGATACAGGGAATACCACAGGAATGAACGCGGTGCCAGCCATGATAGGAAAAGAAGGGACAGAAGCAGAGTCCAGACAGGTAATCTTTATTGAGTGATTTCTATGGCCAGGCACTGTTCTCAATATTTCACACATCTCACAATGTTCAATAGCTCTCATGTTGTAAGATTCAATTCTCACCTCATGCACAGGCACTAACATTACCACACATCACACCAATAAGGTAACTAACGCCCAGAAAGGTGACGGACTCCCCCATAAGGCCACATAGCTGGTCAAGAGCTGGAGCCAAGATTCAACCATTCAACCCAGGCAGTCGGCTACAGTGCCCAGGTCTCACCAACTTAGCAGCCTCCTAAGGGAGAAAGGCTGTCACACCAGAAGGCTGAACCCTGACCCAAAAATGCACCCATTCCTCTCATGTCCTGCCCCTGTCCTTTGGCAGAGGGAAGAGGAGGCCAAATTATTCAGTCTGAATCATTCCTGGGAATGCTCATCTCAAGCCCCCTCCAGACTCAGCAACTTCACCAACTCTGCAGGAAGGTGCCGAAAGGCTGCAGAGGACACTGGAGCCTGTTTGCTTGTCTGCTGGTGACACTCACATCCTGGGAAGAAGTGAAAATGTTGCAGAGTGGATGAAGAGCCAAGCTGGGTGGGGATAAAGGGGCCTTAAAAAAGTCAGTCTGGAAAAAACTGCTGCCGCTTTGCCACCAGTAGCATTAAAATGACCTTAAATGTCCTGGCTGCTGACAGTAATTGTGGCCTGTCTTTACAAATTCAAATTTGAGTGCAGTGGGGCTGGAAGCTGCATGTGTTGGGATTTTGCCATTGTGGTCTCTGCTTTTATTTTCTGCCCCTGTCAGAGTCCCTTGCTTGTGGTCCCTCCTCCATTAAATCAACAGCAGAGAATGAAAGTGCAACGAAGGCTGACAACACTGGATGCATACTCACAGCTTTCCCCACCTGTGAACCATCTGGTATTCCCCTTCCCTCTGTCCTTTCTTTATATAATCTCAGAATCTTGATGGAGCCACTGTGTGTGCACTGGACTGAAAGCCCATCATGCTTTGCTAGGCTTCTTATGCAAATGAGTCCTGGTCCTTTTATTTGTACTCGTTGCTCCTGGAAAAACTGAGATTACAGGATACAGAGGAAGCTACAGCCAATGAAATGGTGGACTAGCCTTTAAAATCACCCTCTCCTCCTTCTCTAATCTAAAGAAAGCATCTCAAGTATTTCCTCTGATGGAGGAGCAGGAGCAGGAGCAGGATTGCTAGGAGGAAGTCAGGCCGCAGGCGACTTGCAGGATACTTACTTTGTATGAGGTAATACACAAGGGCAAAGCTCCCAGTACCGAACACACCGCCGAAAAGGACCTTTATTCCCAGAGGAATTGACTGCCTGCTTCCTGGATACTTAAAAACAAAAGATACAAATTTATTGTAGGATTCCCTGTTTTGTGCCAAGGGGATTTGCCTGGCGTGGGCCCCTCAAGGAAAGAAGCATTAAGGAAGTCAGCAAGGAGGCCAGACCGCCCTCCCTCATTTGCTTCCTTTCCAAATGCCAGGGTTGGTTCTGGAGCCAAACTGAGTGCCCTTCTGAGGGTGCCCTCTCGAGAGTGGCCCATGTCCAGGACCCATGCTGTGGGGGCCCTGCCGCCCCCAGCCGGCCCAGCACAGAGCAAGCATTCAGCCCACCATCCTGACAGACAGAGCCCAGACTGTGTGCCAAGCCCCGCGTGGCCAGGAAGCACAACCACTTTGTCTCAGGCCAACTGGTAAACAGGAAGCTTATCCTTTGTGGCAATGGCTGGTCCTTATAAGCCTGCAAATGGGCTGGAGCTGTCACTGGCTCCTTTCTTTCGTATTTTGAAAAATGCCCCACCCTTGGGATGAGGAAACCTTGGTTATGACTTTCAGGCTGAATGAACAGATGGAGGGATGCCAGCTCAGCAAATACAGCACACCACATCCACCCTGGCTTTAGCTCCTGTCCCCTGAAGGCCTGGGTGGGGCTGGGAGCAGCAGTGGACTCCCTGGAGCCAACTCTCCTCCTTCCTGGTGGCCATAACCACTGCTCACAGCGGCCTGAGGCTTTCTGAAAAGTGTAAGATACCTGACCATAAAACAGTAGGACGTGGGCTATAGGAGTAGGACAGGAAAGGACAGGAGAGGGGTCACAATTCAAATGCCCACAGGGCCAAACAGGTCACATAAAAGACAGCAGACACTGCAAAGACAAGGACGTAAGGCCCAGCCAAGAAGACAGCTTCAACCTGGCTCCCGCTGACTGTGGCTGTGTGGCCCCAGTCTCAATGGATCTTTCCATTTTTCAAGAGGGGTCAGAAATCTGATTTTTTTTTTTTAATGTGAAACTGCCTGGATTCTAAATGCTGACAACCAATTTTTTAAAATTGCTAACAAAATGCATTTGTGAATCAAATTATTTCTGTGGGTTTTCAGTTTGCTTTGACCATCAGCACATCCCAACCCTAAGTGAGATTTAGGTAAATTCCTGTCTGTCTTTGCTGACATTTCTCCAAAACGAATAGAGATTTTGGACAGACATGGAAATCCCGGTTTTAGATAAAGGAAAAAACTCCGTGTCTGTGTCCCTATTTGAAGATTTAACCTTAGATTTTAACTGTGCTCCTTTCACAAAACAAAGCCTCTGATGTGTCCTAAAGGGGTCAGAGGTAACGCAGTGCAGAAAAGTTAGGTATAATGCGAGTTCCTTTGCTGGCTGGAACACATTCTCACCATCTGCTTCTCCACCTTCCAGAACACAGAGTAACAACTAATTGTCTACCCATCATTTCTGAAAACTGAATGTAAAGGAATCCATAGAAACCCTGTTGGAGGAAGTTCCTCAGGGAGACATTCTTTCTGAGAACTAGTAACTAAACATACCCTTGAATCAGGCTACAGGTGACCAGTTCTATACTAAAATATTTAATCCAGGTTTATGTATATAAAGGGCTTTGATCAATTTAACAAATGAAGGAGGGTGACATTTTAGATCATCTTTGTATTATCTGCTTATATGCTGTTTTGTTCAACTAAGAAAAGGCTGTTGAAACCACAAACAAATGTACAGCAACTGCTGTGAGAGTTCTAGCTAGTGCCCTATAATATGTAAGAGTATCAAAATGAGTGTAAAGTCAATTACAGTAATGTGATCTGGGAAAAGCCATTTAGTTCTCATAATGAAAATGGTCAGAGCATCTCTGAAGAATGTATTAGTCAGATCTTGCTTAATTTGAAGAGAGCTCAACAGGGTGAGGCAGCCAGACTGGGTTATGCAGACGTTCCCAGAGTGTTACAGCTTCCAACGCCAGCATGAGACACGAGAGAAAGACAAAGCCGGAAACAATGCAGAAAATGCCCCTCCCATCCCTCGTGTGAAGTTAAAGCACAAGTGAACCCTAAAGACCAGGAGAAGCCCGTAACTATTCAGGGAGTGACTTTCTTCTATTGTCTAACTCGAGAATACCCTGGCACGTTTTAGTGGGGAACCTGGCCCTGGAACATTCCATTACCTTTTGCCACATCATAGCACAACTCTCTTCAAAATCAGCAAAGGCAAGTTGTCCTGCAATTAGAAAAGATTTTACATTAAAATCATTTTTTAAAGCCCAATTCTCTCTAGTCTCATACAGCCAAGATTTATTACCAACCCAAGCTTTAGAACATGAACAAGGAGTTAAATTTAAGCTCTAAAACAAGCCTTGTCTGAGAAAGGCCCTGGTTTTTCCCCCTTCTGCCAAATTAGGAAGAAAAAACAAAGCCTACGGGTTTCCTGTCTGTGTCCTATGTACTTTTTGTTACAGCAACCAAAGAACCGGTGTGCACAAGGGAGAACCGCAGGCAGCAATTGCTTTGACCACAGCACAAACACGGGGCCAATCAGCAGGTGGCTGGACCCTCAGAAGCAAGATGCTAGCAATAAAAGCTGTACATGACAGAGTGAAAACAGCACTTCACAGTAAAAAAGAAACCATAGTACAGTAAACCCATATATGAACTTTAACAATATTGATAATACCTAACACTTTTAACAATATTGATAATACCTAATACCTTACTATTATGTGTCTTTTACTATTCTAAGCACTTTACATAATTCATTTAATTCTCACAAGCCTTCGAAGTAGGAACTATTATCATCACCCTCATTTTACAGATGAGTAAACTGAGGCACAGAGAGGTTAAGTAAAATGCCCAAAGGTGCACTAATAAGTGAGTAAGTGGTAGAATGGGGATTCAAACTCATGGAGTCTAGCTCCAGCATCTGCTCTTTCAACCACTGTGGTACACCAGCTTTAAGATATCTAATTAAAGCAATATTGAAATGTGAAAACAGTGTCTCTGAGCTAAAATATATTCTTACTGTTCAGTGTAAAAGTCCTTGGCAGGCATGCCTTTCCTGCTATTTTTCCAGACAAGGTAGATACATATTTGTACCTTCATTCCTTCTTTTGTTTAGCAAACGGTTACTGAGGGTCTGATCTGGTCAGACAGTAAGAATATAAAAACAGTATCAAGATATAAGGAATTTTCCTTAGTCCTGAAGGGATACAGACAATTAAACAAATAATGATAACATAGATCTATCACATACAACTGCACAGCTATGCACTGCACAACGCTTGCAGGGCACCATGCACATTAGAGACATCAAAGATTTCTGTCTTTATTAAGACAGTTTGCCAACAGTTGGAAGTACTATGAAGTATCCTGAAGAAGGTGTGGGTGTCTTTTTCTAATTTGCACAAAGGTGCCTTCGGGCTAGCAGCAGCCCGGTTAGTGCAACCAGATATATGCACCAAGAGAGGAAGTAACACTCAGGAAGTGGTCGACCCCGATGCACGGAATCAGTGGAGGTTTCACAGTTTACGGAGAAGAGAAAGGTGAAAGAGTAGGAGAACAGCTTCAGATCCGGGAAATGATAAACAAAGGCAGAGTGGGCAGAAACAAGAACTGCTGAAGTGTAAAGTACAGGAGAGGAGCCACAGGAAACAGGTCCGGAAATGGAGGGGCGGCAGCATAGGGGGTGGTTACTGCTAAGAAAGACCCTCGACCCTGAGCTGTCGGACTCTGCAGATGAGGGGCTACAGAAAAATCTCTCTGGGACAGACGGGTGGGCAGATGCGGGGAGAGAAGACAATGCAGCAGTACTGCCACAGGACAGCAAAGCCCAGAGCTAAGACCAAGGCAGCAAGTGTGCCGCAAAACGGTGGTTTCTTAAAATATTCAGGATGGGTCTTACTTATTTATTTACTTATTTTTATACTTGCTCATTCCAAAAAGGATGATGGAGCTAACAAAGATACATACTTTAGAAGAGAAGAAAACAGATAGATGAGGAAATGAAGATAAATGAAAAATAATATTCAGAAAAGAAATGGGGCTGAAATAAAATTCCTATCTGCTCGGCAGACAGGGAAGCTTGAGGAGCTACAAGATCCAGAGTGTCCGTGGGGAAAGGCAAATCAACCACTGAGTCAGAAGACAACAGCTGCTAAGAATACATGAAGCCTCAGAAAGCCCTCGCCAAGACTCAGAGATTCTCTCAAGTGACTGGTGTTGCAAACATCCTGAGAATTAAAAACAAGATCACAAAAATAAAAAGTTCCCAACTACCAAATGACTATGTTTTATAACATCCAACTATGAAAGCCACATTCATACTCCCCCACCACCAAAAAAACAAAACAAAAAAAAAGAAGAATTATTTTACAAGCAGTCAAAAGAGTGAGGACTCAAGAGTGCTTAGGCAGTGAGGATCAACCAAGTCTCCCCAAAGCCCTTCCACGTCAAAGAAGGGGTTGGGGTGCGAGTGGTGGGCAGGAAATGGCTTCAGGAGTGAGTCGGGGGTAGCAAGAGCTCCTTTTCAACCAGCTTCAGTTTACCTGCCCCTTCAGCCGCCTTTTGAAGAGTGTTAAGTATTCCCCGACCTCACAAAAAAACAAAATTTCAAAAAGGCACTGTAGAGGAATAGAGATGGATTTCAGGCTAACTGCAGGAATGTTACCTCTTAGAACTAGTCTTCTAGTAAGAGGCGAAAATTTTAAAATGTGATGTGCCATTCTCTGCAATAAACTCAAGTTCAACCAGTCTACTATGTTGCCAAATAAGGGCAGATTTATTTGCTTAACAGTTCGCCAAAAGGCAAGGGTTGCATCTGTATTGGAAATCAAGGAAATTGTTAGCCACAGGAAGGTGGCACAAAGCACTGGCCAGGGTCTCTCAGGAAAGCAGTCTTAGCTCTGCTCTGATACACAAAGGAGTGACTTTGGCCTCCAAAGGCAAATAGTTTATAAACCTTTTCCAAAGTACTAAACCCTTTCTAGAGCCAAAGAACAGTCTGCTAAACAGATGCAGCAGACACTGAAGCTGGCACAGGCTGGAGGATCCTGTCAGCCTCCCTTCAGCTGGGACCAGAGGAAGCATCACCAGGGGGATCAACAGAACAGCCAGGGAGTTCAAGCCATAGACAGGATCCCACAAGGGAAGGGTGGAAGCAGGCACGTGGTGCAACTTCAAGCTGGGAAGCACACCAGAATCACAGGAAGCGCTTAAAAAAAAAAAAAAGGCCAGGTGCGGTGGCTCATGCCCGTAATCCCCACCTTTCAGGAGGCCAAGGCAGGAAGATCACTTGAGCCCAGGAGTTCAAGACCAGCCTGGGTAACACGACGGAACCCAATCTTTACAAAAAATACAAAAATTAGTCAGGTGTAGTGGCGTGCACCTGTGGTCCCAGCTACTCAGGAGGCTGAGGCAGGAGGATGGCTTGAGCCCAGGAGGTGGAGGTCGCCATGAGCCGAGACCATGCCACTGCACTCCAGCCTGGATGACAAAGCAAGACCCTGTTTCAAAACAAACAAGGCAGATGTCCAGGCCACATCCAGACCAATTAAAATAGAATCGGCAAGGGCAAGACCCAGGCAATGGTGGTTTTTAACCTTCTCAAGTAATCGCAATATGCAGCCGGGCTTGGGAACCAGTGGTATACTGGAAACAAAGCACATAAAGCAGCATTACAGGTAGCTGAAGCAGGAGCAGGGCCAAAAGCCCGGCTATGAACACAGGCCATGTGACATTCCCAGCAGGCCTATTAACACCCAGAGTCCTCTACAGCAGCGTTTTGCCAAGCATAACCTATTCACTTCACCTCTGTTCCTCTGGGTAACATGGCTGGCCTGGCTTGTCCTACAACTGGGTAACTACTATGGGCCAGGCACCATGCAGGATGTTTTATATGCACTACTCCTATTTCTTAAAACAATCATAAAAGGTAGATATTATTTTTGCCTTTCTGAACTAAAAAAAAAGCCTTAAGAAAGGTTCTGAAACTTGCTTATGGTCATGCAGCTATTCCCTGTCAGAATTATTACATGCATCTGACTCCAGAGGCCATGGTTTCTCCACTGAGCCAAGACCATGGATTTCAGAACAATCAGCTTTTCACACAGGTAGGATGTGCTGTCCAAAAGCCATTTCCATCTGCCAGAAGCAAATCACTGCTACACTGGGAAAGTTTTAATCAATGTATCTCCAAGTTATAATTTAAGGGAACAAGGTAAAACAAAGAGATACAAAATCACTTAGCGACTACTGGGAGGAAATGGAAAGATCGTTCCTCCCTATTGTTGAATGGGCACGGCTCATTGCTACTGTCACCCCGCGGATTACATATCGTTCAGCCTTTAAAAATCGAAAAATTGTCAAGGGCCACAGTGGAGGGGGTTGGGGGAGGCAGCAGAAAGACAGTACAGAGAATTATGCTTAAGACAATAGAAATAAAAAAAGTAACGCAATATAAATTGAAATGAAAAAGAGTAAGAAACAAAACCCAAAAGGCCGAAAATAAAGATTAAAAATTTGGCATTTAAGAAAAAGAAGTATGAATGGCAAAAACAAAATAAAAGAAGATTAAACTTTTTTGAAGAATGAAATGTCTCAAATGTAAGGTAAGAGAGACAAAAGGATAGTACCAAAAAACATGATAAAAGCATGCGAGTAAACATGATAAAAGTTTTTTTTTTAAGTAAAAGACTATGAAATTAAGCATTTTAAAAATTAAGCATACAAATGTTAGCGCTGACTTTTTAACTTCATTTTGGCTCTGAAATCACGGAATAACTTGAATGCTTGTAGAGGAAAGACTTCCTGTAACCTTTTATTCTTAATCACAAGGCAAGCTCCCTTTGTTGAGCTGAGCTAAGGATGTTAATAAAAGGCTGTCCAATACCTTTCTACAGGTTGGCGCAAAACTAATTGCGGTTTTCACCATTGAAAGTACTGGCGAAAACCACAATTACTTTTGTGCCAACCTAATATCAGAGATGTCTGTTACTCATCCCATGGAAACCAAGACTGCCTGGAGAGAGGGTCCCTGTGCCAATGGGATTAACAATTTTTTTAAAGATTAATAAACTATAAGATGAAGGAAGATGCCATTTAGTTTAAGAGGGCATCAAGCTACCATTTCCTGATATGACTTCACAAATTCCATTTAAAATACCTATAAAGATACACACAAGGCAAGACAGAAAGTAGGGCCTGCTTGGAATCATAACAAGTTGCAAA